TTTATATTTTTTACTTTATTTGTTAATTTTTAGCTTATTGTTCATTTCATGTTGTTATATATCTTATCATTAATCCTGTGTTTACTTTATTTGAAAATTTTTAGCTTATTATTCATTTGATGTTGCTGAATATATATACATTCATCCTAATGCAAAAAATGTATACATAACTTCCATGGATGTAGTTATAATGAAGGTGCTTGTTGGTTGTTATTACAGGTCCTACTTAAGTGAATTTTATGGAAGTTTTTGTTTGTTGATATGATGACATAAATCAATGTTAGGGAATTATATTTACAACAATATTTTCATTGTATGTCTTTATAACTTATTATTTATTGCTGTGCTGAGACATAAATATTTATGGTATTTAAAAAAAAATTTCAATAAACTTTGATAGTTTTTGAGAAATTAAAGTTGTCTCAAAATATTTATACATTTGAAATATATTTATAAAATTATTATATAAGATATATAATGATTGCAGGGTTTTAGCAAAAAAAATTTGATAGTTTTTGAGAAATTAAAGTTGTTTCAATGTAAGATACCTAATGGTTGCATGGCTTTAGCTAAAATGATTGGCTGTAGCAAAATCCATATTATCTACGAAAAAATTCGTAGATAAATTACCTACGAAATGATTCGTAGATAACTTACCTATAACGTACTTCATAGGTCAGTTATCTACGAACCATTTCGTAGGTAAGTTATCTACGAAGTTTTTCGTATGTAAGTTACCTACGAAAATTTTCGTAGGTTAGTTACATACGAAAAACTTCGTAGATAACTTCACTATGGGGAATTTTCAATTTGTAAGTTATCTACGAAAAAGTGTCGTAGGTAAGTTTTCTATATTTCAATTTGTAAATTATCTACGAAAAGGTGTCGTAGGTAACTTTTCTATACAATTTTTCGTAGGTAATGTTCCTATGCAAATTCCTGATGCTACCATTTCGTGGGTAATTTCAGACGAATATTTTCGTAGGTAATGCATACGTATTCGTAGATAAATTCAGACGAATATTTTCGTAGGTAATGCATAGGTAAGTTACCTACGGAGGCCAATTTTCGTAGATAAATTTACCTACGAGCTTATTATCTACGGAAAAAGTTTCGTAGATAATTCGTAGATAATACCCATTTACCTACGAAAATTCTGCATTACCTACGAATTATGGGTGTAGATAAATACCAACTTTCTTGTAGTGAGTTTATAAACATCATTTCTCCTTAACTTTTCAAAATGTCTTTTCAAGGACAAAATAATGATAGTCCAACAAGTGTCAAAACATACAATACCTCGATTACAATAACCTTAACGATATTAATAGACTTATAATTGAAACATTGGCATTAGAAAGAGGGTCTAGGTCACTCTTATCTCTTAGCCTCAATTAAGGGGCTTGTTCTAATATGCCTAAAAGTGTCACACTACTTAAGATTTGAGAATAAAGGTAGTTTATAAACACCTCTCTCCTTAACCTACCGAGATACCTTTTCATGGAAAAAATCGTGACGATCCAATGAGTGTCAAAATAGACAATACCTCAGTCACGATAACCTTAACGATGCCAACAGAGTTATAGTAGGAACATTCATAGTGATAATAAGTTATATTAAGCGAAGTCCCAAATCTACTCTTATATTTATCAACATCACCTCTTACCTATTTATACCTAGATATTGAAATCAATGGTTGAGAATATTTTTTATTATTTCCTCCCCTCTTTCGCTTCTTACTATTGCTATCATCAATAACCATTTTTCCAGGTAATACATTCTTCCCTTTTTTTACTTTAGCTTTACTTTTATATAAAAATTTTGGTGGTGTCACTAAACAAGTTCAGGTCTATTGTAGGAGAATAAATGAAAGGTAAGGTAGAAGAATCCTCAGCAAGCAATGTGTTACCAAACTTTTTCTTATTCTGACCTATGAAAGGACCCAGAAAAGTATGGGTGGTACCATCTTGAAGAGAGAAGGGAAGAAGTACCTGAGAATTGAAAATCTTGAAGCTAGCTTCCTCCATGCCCGAGATGGGGACGAAGGTTTCGTCACCTTCTTTCACAGCATAGACCGTAGCATTGGCCATTAGCAGAGGAACAGATTGTGTAGATGAAGTGAAAGCCAGTGTAGGAGAAAGAACTGAGGCGGTAGCAGAAGTTGAAGCAGTAGAAGAAGCCATTGCAGCAAGATGAAGCAAGATCCACAAGGAGAAGAACAAGAAGAAGCAAGGACGGAGAAAGTTTGAAAGGCAAAGAATACGTGCGCACAAAGGAAACGGTAAAAAGTAATTTTACCCTAAGACCTTTTAAACGAATGTAAACGGGCCAAAGCGAAAATAGCCCAACAAGTTAGATCAACCATCAAACGTTTCAAATCATATTTTAAATCAACGGACAAGAGCATTGGGAAATGTGAGCAAGCGCCGTCAAAATTTATTAGGGGCAGTAAAAACTTAAATATAACAGTAACCACATTGAAGAGCATTTTTGATTAGGGTTCCATCGAATAGGTACATCATAAAGTTGACTCGAAAACTAATCAGTATTGATCGAAGAATTGAAAATCATAGGAATTCAGTCTTTCATCGCCTTAACGCGTGCTTCGAAGACTAAATTTCTAGGGGGGCATTTGTTAGGGCCACTCGAAGACATTCCACTCGAAGAAGTTGATTGACAAGGTACTTGCCAGACAAATTGAATATCAGAAACTATAAGCATACATGCTCGAGAACGACTCGAAAAAATGCAAGAGGTGGTTACCGGAGATTTTAGGTAATTAAATAAGTGCACCAAAGCGATTATCGAAGATCAAATTGAAAAAATAAAAACGTGGATGGAACGGTTGGGAGAAGTTACCTTTAAGCCGAATAATCAGTATAGTGGACAACGGTTACATATCCACGATGAAAATTAACCACTCTCGATTAAGTCTATAAATATGAGGAGAGTGTCACTTCACAAGGGTCGAAAAAATCATACTTGCACTCTCAAAAACACTCACCTCCTACGCATATGGCTTCCGTGCATGAAATTGCTGGGTATGACAACTTCTTGGCCACATTTTCTTTCTTTTTCTAGGATTAGTTTAGTTTCATTTAGTATCGTAGTGTAGTTTGTAGTTCATAGTTTGTTATTATGAAATTGTAACCTGATGATTATGCGAAGTGGACAATGATTTGTATTGCCAATATATGTATTGTTCATTCTGTTTATTTGAGTATCTACATGCATGATAATTATTGCTTAATAATCATTAATGAAAATCTTGAAACGAACGCTTGCTAGTTACTCTGTTTCGTCTAAACCCAATAGAGGGCTTAGTGTTGCAAGTTAATGTCGTGGTAGGCTCATACCCAAGTTATTTTATCCTGATAGGAATACTAGACTTTCTAGTTTAAGTGGTGACATCCGAGAAACCATGTTGTTTGGGATTGGTATCTCAATTGATTGTTGATTTAGTATGTGTAAAAAGATTATTTTTGTTTGATAGGGTTAAACCACTTAGACTGCTCACCTTCATTGTAGGAGATCTCCATAGGTGAATGCGTGACAACACATGTAGTTGAAGTGTTATGCATATGATGTTGAGATTTTGGTGTTGTTCATATGTTGTAAGTTTTGGTTGCTGCTTGGCATGGTTGTTGGTGTATGATAAAATTTTTGTTTACCATTTTAAGGTTGTTGAATGACATGTTGAAATTTGTTGTGGTGTTGAGAATGTTGTAAGCCATGAGGAGAATTATGTGTAGTTTACATGATATTGTTGATAATATAGTTGTCTTTACTTCTACACCTGTTGTATGGTTATTCTTTTGAATCTAGTTTACCCTTGAATATTTTCCTAATAGTTAGATTGTGATGATCATGATTACATGGGAGCAAGACAAGGTTAATGGGAGGCAAGTTGAGGCTTTTGTGAGGCTATGCCACTGAACGGATTTTTGTTGATCTTGTTGGGTTACTTTAACGTAACCATCATGTATAAATGTTGTTTGATCGATAACTTAGGATTTTTGTTAAACTGTTGATGGATTATTGTACACACACACACATATAGAGAGATTGCTAACATATACTTTCACTTTAATTTTGGTTAGAGTATATTAGCAACCTACACAAAACCTTTTAGACCAAAAAACCAATCAACTATTTTATTTTAATAATCTTAATTGAGGGATAGTATAGTAATTTATTATTTATTTCTTTTAAAAAAAAACCATTTCTTTCTCCTACCCACCCATTCTTTCTCCTCTCCATCACTCACCCATTTTTCTCTCCTACCAACTCATTCTCTCTCCTCTTCATCACTCATTCATTTCTCTCTCCAACTAATTATCTTTCTTCTCCTCCATCAATGGAAGAAGAACAATCACTCTAAAAAATAAGAGAAGAGAGAGAAATAAATGGAGGAAGAGAAATAATGAGTGAGTCACTTGGGATAAATGAGTATTTTATTTAAAAAAATAAATAATAAATTACTATAATATCTTTCAAGTAAGTTTATTAAAGAAAAAAGGTTGATTAGTTTTTTGGTCCAAAATAAAATTCACTCAATGAATTCTTTATTTATTTATACATATATACATTATATTATAACAAGAATAGAGAGTGTATAATTATTTTTGATATTTACTTTTTAGTGGACCATTATACTTCTTAATTATTTTTTATATTCTCTAAATAATTGTTCACAACCATCTATTCAATTATCTTTTTATTTTATTTTTAACTTTTAAAAATTAAGAGACAAAATATATCTATTCCTAATTTAAATAAAAAGGACTAAAATGGACATATAGTTAAAGACACTTAAAAAAAAGACTTGCGTTATTTTGATTCATTATTTTTACAATTTTTATAATTTATTTTTCATTTTTCATATCTGACATCACGTATTATATCACACATTTTCTTTGCTTTTCTTCTTTTTCACGAAATAGCCTAAACAAAATGAGTAGGAACGCGATCATCTTGAATCTACTTCCCTAATGCTCAAAGTCCAAACATCCCTCACTATAAATTCATCTTCCATATTGGTTCTCTCCATTCCAACTAGCACATCATGGCAACCCACTTCCTCATTCTCTCCCTTCTCATTTCTTACCACCTCCTCACTTTCACTGTAGCCGAAGAAACCGGCTTCGTGGGCTCACTAGACCGCGGAAAATTGGGCCTGGCCCAAAAAGACAAGGTGAGCCATTTCCGGTTCTACTTCCACGAGCAGTTCACCGGAACCAACGCCACCTCCGTCACCGTGGTGGCGCCGCTCCCAAAGTACAACTCCACCACCAACTTCGGCATGGTGGGCATCACTGACAACGCCCTGACGGTGGGACCCGACCGCGCCTCCAAGGTTGTCGGAAGAATCGAGGGTCTGTATGCTGCCACGTCGCAGTCGGAGTTCAACCTGTTGGTGGTTGTCAACTTTGCGTTAACTGAAGGGAAGTACAACGGAAGCACCATCGCCGTGTTGGGGCGGAACCGCCTCTCCCAGAAGGTGAGGGAGATGCCGGTGATCGGAGGAAGTGGGGTGTTTAAATTTGCGACGGGGTACGTTGAAACCAGCACTCTCTACCTTGATTCGGATAGGTCTACAATTGAGTACAACATTTATGTTGCACATTATTGATGCACACAACATGAATAGTGGCCATTGGAGGAGGTTTTACGTTGTTGATTTTAATGTGAACATTGCAAGAATTATATACAAGTGAAAGAAATAAAAGTGAGTTTAATTTATGGAACTGTATGTACGTAAATATACCTACTATCAAATAAATAAAATACACAGTTATTTATTTATTTATGTTATTTCCTAAACTTTTGAATAAATAAATAAAATGAAGAAGATATTCTCTTAAAGAAGAATAACATTTATATTCTCAAAACTTTAATAATTAAAAAATAGGAAACATAGAGAATATTTACATTTACTCTTTTTATAGAGTGGTGACAACGTCTTACTTTTGATTCTAGTAGTTAAATAATTTATAAAAATATAAATTAGAAAATAATAATTAATATTCCCTATGATTTTTATCATAAAACATTTTTTTACCGAATCGTATAAACTAAAATAAATATTTATGTTAGTTAATTTTATTAATTTTGTTAAATAAAATATTCAGTTATCAATTTTACTCTTTTTAATTATTATATAAAAATATTATTCATATAAAAACTTATACATCAATATTAATAAAAATGATAAATAACAATTGAAGATTATAAAAGTTAAAGAGAAAAAAAAATATTTTTTCATAATTTTTAATTATAATAAACGTGAAAAGTAAAGTAAAAATAATATTATATAAAAATTGTAAATCACTTTATAAAAAAGGCTAATAATTCCTTTTATATCATGTTTTATAATAAAAATAGAAATATAAGTGAAAATATTATTTATTTTAAAATATTTTCTAAGTACTACAACTATAGTTAACTCTTAAGACTAAAGACAGAAGGAAAAATATATGATTGCATAAATTAATGATAACTTCTGAATAACGAGTACGGTGTTGTACTCATAATCTTTGCTCTTGTTTCTATGTAATGGATCAATAATGATGTAAGTTTGATTATTATAATTCCTTCAACTTCGGAAGAGAAATGAAGTGATTAAACATCGCTCTAAACTCTTCTTAATGTCTTAACAGACTAAAAATATACTAGTAACGAAAAAAGTTAAAATTAAAATTAAAATAAAATAAAATAAAAACACGTCTTTGTTTCTATTTTTCCTTTGTGCCTTGATTGGATGAAAATGACATACTGCCATCAGAAAGAGTTTTCGAAATAGGACAAGTCCCATGCTGACTAATGCGCCCTCCAAGTTTGATTTTTAAAAGGGTCAGGATTATACGCAACGTGACTTAGGCTAAAATCATAAACTTGGTGTGCGGATGTAGAAAATTTATTAAGTGGGGTAATATAATATTTTATAATATTTTTTATTAAAAAATATAATAATTTTTTAGAAAATATATTTTTGTGATAAAAATTTAATATACTTATTTTTTATAAATTAAA